ACTCATGAATGTTTCTGAGCTTTCCATGTGAACTTGATCGTGATGAAAACCAATTAATGCTTGAGTTTCTTTGCATGAATTTTGAGACGTGCTTGGTCTTGCTTCTGATATTTCATAGCGTTTAGAGAATAGAGGAAGCTGTGACAGACCGTTAATCAACAAAGGCATCATGATCCCAACTGATCGGAACAAAGACTTCTGACGATTTGTTGGTGACATCCATGACAGCACTAGAGATGAAAATACATCACATGATGATCCTTCATAGCCACCTAGGAAGCACGGATACGCCAATTTTGGTGGCGTATCCGTGTCGGATACGCACCGGACACGGATACTCGCTCCGTGCGAGTACGTCTGTGTCCGATACGTTTTTTGTTTGGGTGACACAGCGCGACATGGCGAGACATAGCGTCAACACGGCTGACACTGCTTCGACGCTGGATGCTGCGTTTTGCATAAAAAAATTGCCTAAATAAGCAGATCGAACCTCACTCACTTTGATTCTGACCTTCTCTCCCAACTCGCGAAATCAGTCGACCGTCGTTCTCTTACACTGAGTTCGCAAAACCAGATCGAACCTTCCCAGATCTCGCCGTTGTTGTCCTCCGACTTGCCGTGCGCCTAGTTCTTTCGTGCTCCTACTCATTCTTAGTTGCTCAGCTCACCGGCATCGGTCTTTCGTCCGTTCAGGCGTTCACTGGTTTACACTTCTCTCTCTCTCTCTCTCTCTCTCGTGTCTCTCAACTCTCAACTCTGTCTCTCATGCTGTCACGAGCCTGAAACTGAAAAATGAATAGATTTTATTATTTTATTTTTGATTTATGTTAAAGACTTAAACTTTGCTTCAACTCTCATGTCCAGTTTTCTTTTCCTTTTGACCGAAGCTCATGCTCTGCCCTCTTCTCTAAATTTAATTTTTATTTATTAATTTAATATATTAGATTGCAATGTTCATGTGCAGAATTTATATTTAATGCATGCTTGCTTTCTATTTTTATGTTACATGTTATTTTGCTCAAATCTCAATCTACATTTCAATGCTTTTAGTCATATTTAATCTTAGTTTATCTCAATTTTTTTTAATTAGCTATGGCTACAGCAAATAGTTCTAGGGGAAGTATTAATTCAGCAGCCCGTTTTTCTTCTATAAATGAGCTACAAAAAGATGGAACTCCCTTATGGTGCTATGTCACTTTCGTGAATAAAAATAGAGACATACCAGAAGGTGGAAATAGATATTGGAGGTGCAATTATTGTAACAAAGAATTTAATGGCTCTTATTCTAGAGTTAAGTGGCACTTGTTAAAAACTTCTGGCAAGGGAATTACTATATGCTCGAAAGTTGATGAGTATTGCCTAGCTAAGATGAGAAAATTACAAGAAGATGCTGATGAGAAGACCAAGTCAAAGCAAGTGCCATTACCACCCCCGGCTGAAGGTTCATCTCCCTTATATCCTATGACAAGTGAAAGCAACCAAAGCAAGAGAAGGGCAGTAAGTCCATTAGAAAAGGCCTTCCAACAAGGGGCAAGAGAAAATCTACATGCTGAAATTGCAAGAATGTTTTATACAGGTGGTCTATCTTTTCATTTGTCACGCAATCCATATTTCATTAGTTCATATCAATATGCTGCGAACAACATCATTCCTAGATACAAACCTCCTGGTTATAATGCATTAAGGGGTCTATTGTTGCAAAGAGAAAGAGCTCACATAGAGAAGTTACTTAAACCAATTAAAGGAACTTGGAGTTTGAAAGGAGTGAGCATAGTCACAGATGGTTGGACAAATGCTCAAAGGAGGCCTCTGATTAATTTTATGGCTGTGTCTGATGGGGATCCCATATTTTTGAAGGCAGTTGATGGATCCAAAGAATATAAAGACAGACATTATATGGCTGACTTGATGCGTCAAGTGATTGAAGAGGTCAAGCCTCAAAATGTGGTTCAAATAATCACTGACAATGCATCTGTTTGCAAATCAGCAGGTAGGCTTATAGAGGCTGAGTATCCCACTATTTTCTGGACGCCATGTGTTGTGCATACGCTTAATCTTGCATTAAAGAATATATGTGCAGCAAAAAACACAGAGGTAAATGAGATTATGTATGATGAATGCCATTGGATAGAGGAGGTTAAGGATGATTCTGCTTTTATTAGAACATTTATCATGTGTCATTCTATGCGATTGGCAATTTTTAATGAATTTGTGCCATTAAAATTACTTGCCATAGCTGACACTCGCTTTGCACCCACCATTGTTATGCTCAAAAGACTCAAGCTCATTAAAACTTCACTTCGTACAATGGTGATAAGTGAAGCATGGAATGCTTATAAGGAAGATGATGTTGGAAAGGCAGCCACAGTGAAAAACTTGATGCTTAATGACTCTTGGTGGGATAAGGTAGATTATATACTTTCTTTCACTGGACCGATTTATGACATGCTTCGGATGGCTGACACAAATAAGCCTATACTTTATTTAATTTATGAAATGTGGGATTCAATGATAGAACAAGTGAAGGAGTCCATCTACAAGTATGAGAATAAGGAGCTTTCTGAGTATTCAGCTTTCTTTGATGTTGTTTATAGGATCATTATTGATCGATGGATAAAAAGTTGCACTCCCCTTCATTATCTTGCACATTCATTGAATCCTAGGTTAGTTATATTACTATTGCAATATTTTTCATTCATGAATTATTTAGTTTTGTTCTTAATCCTTTTTGTTTGCAAATGTTATAGGTATTATACACCCCAATGGCTTGAAGGTGCTCCCAATAGAATTCTGCCTCATTTAGATAATGAAATATCATCTGAGAGAGTAAAGTGCCTTTATAGGTACTTTACTGATCCTGAGGAGAGAAAGGTGGTCTTTCAAGAGTTCCCAAAATTTGTTGGAAGTTTAGACTTCTATTCATCATTTGATTGCTTGCAAGATAGGTGGAATTTAGAACCTAAAGGATAGTGGTTAAATTATGGTTCTTTCACCCCTATTCTTCAGAGGCTTGCATTAAAACTTCTAGGCCAACCGTGCTCTTCCTCTTGTTGTGAAAGAAATTAGAGCACTTACTCCTTTATCCACTCATTGAAGAGAAACAAGATCACTCCTAAAAGAGCTGAAGACTTAGTTTTCGTGCATACTAATCTTCGTCTCTTGTCAAGGAAGAGTGAAAAGTATCGCATTGGGCAAAGTAGAATGTGGGATATTGGTGGAGATACTATGGAGCCATTTGATGCTATCAATAGCCTTGAGATGGCAAGCTTGTCACTTGATGAACCCATTTTAGAGCAAGAAATTATAGGAGAGCCTAGTAATGTAATGGAAAATGAGGATGATGAAATGTGATGCATTTGATAGTATTTTGTATTTTTTTGGATTGCTATGCATTTTGATTGTTGACATATTACTTACATTTATATAAAAAAATATTATATATTGCCGTACCCGTATCCTAAAATTTTAAAAATTTGCCGTATCCCCGTATCATGCCGTATCGTATCCGATACTCGTACCCGTATCTATGCAACCTAGATAGCTACACAGAGACACATATTTAATGCATTTCAATCTTGTTAACGAGGAGGGTACTTGTGTTATAGCAGTTTGATTTGCCACCAAAGTTGTTAAAGATTCCATTTTCCCTATGTCCTTTTCTAGCTTTTCAATCTTTGGGCAGCCAAACAGATTGAGAATCTTTAAAGACTTCAAGTTATATATACTTACTGGGAGATGGTGGAGACTTTTGCAGTCCTTTAAATTTAACAAAACAATATATTTAAGATTTCCAATGGAGGGGTGAACTTTTGACAAACTGGAACAATTTTTGAGTATTAACTTTTCAAGATTTGGTATTTTTGAAAAGTCGAAGTGTTTCTATCAAGTAATTAGAATCACTTAAATTGAGAATCTTCAACCACTCCAGCATCTGCACACAAAAAACAATCCAATATAAATTACATAACAAATAAAATAAATACCTAGTTTCTAGTTTCCCATTTTCATTATAAATACCTAACTTTGCTCCCACACTTTCCTTAGATTACTCCGTTTTAGGTCTATGGCAACTATCTTTTCTAAACTCAAGTTCATTGGCATGTTTTCTAAGGGAGATCAGTGCCAGCAAAGCCATCTCAATTCTGTTGATAGATACCCATAATCTCCAGCAAGTTGAACATGATCAAGTTGGAGCAAACGAAGCTTCTTCATTTCCTTGAATGATTCAGTACACAAGCATAGTGAATTGTCTCTTGACACATTTAGAGTCAGTCCTTGGATAGCTATTGTTCTCTGTTGAATAAAAGGAAGAGGCAAACAAAAATGGTATCTCACTAGATGAAAATATGTAAATTAAAGTGGGAAAATAGGTTTGATTCGATTAATCTGTGTAACTTTAATCAACCTAATTAAAATCACAACATAGGTTAGAAATTGCCCAGCCTCTTTCAATGAAGTTAATATAGCCCACCTTGCCTTGTCCTCAAGAAAAGGCCCTTCAATGCCTTCCTTTTTTTTAATTGTTTTTTTTATTATTCACAAGTATTCTCCTATTAAAAGTAATCATCTTTGAAGTATTGTCAAGCACCAAATATGGGCATTGCATGAAAGGGCTTGAAATTGTCCTATAAAAATATGTAATTCAATTTGGAGACAAACAAATAAAGACTTGTAGGTTTAGAGATAATTAATTAACTGAATAAAATGTGAGTTGGCCAGCCAACCCACTCTTGGGTTGATTAGACAAGAAATATTCTTGTCCGCTAAGAATCTAGCCTGTAGCCCACAATAGGCTAACTTATTTTTTGTGGTAGGTGCATTTTCCCAACTCTACATGTGATATGTAACAATGATTCAAACCCACCAGTGACAACAAAAAGATATAGGAGCGGCAAAATGAGTAATGAAAAATTAAGTAGAAAAAATTAAATACAGAACATAATGAAACATTTCAATGAAGGCATGGAGAAATACTCTTACCGTTCTATTTCTCAACACATCTAGCGTGTCATCTTGATTCCATAATCTAGTATGCTTGCCATGCTTTTCTGGTGACTGCTCACAAATGATTTCTCTTCTGTATCACATAGCAAGTCATGCATGTCGAGTTTATTTCTATTGCCAACTTTTATAAGACTACGCTCTATCAAACGATTGATTCCAATTTCTGCATAAAATCCACAACCATTTAATATTTGAGTAGCATAGCTTTTGTCTTTCCTAATGAAAAAACAACATATGTCAAGGAATATATCTTTCTCACTATTGTCACTCAAACCATCATAACTTATTTTTAGCTTTGCCTGTATTTGATCATTTGGAATTTTTTGCAATTTTTCCAAAACACTTCTCCAAATATGTATTTCAAGAGCCAGTGGTAACCAACCGAAGTAAGATACCACTCTTCTTGAAAGTTCATTGAAATCTTGTTTAGGGATTGCTTGCTTAAATGCATGACAACTGAAAAGTTCAAGAGATTCTTCAACATCTAATTCTTTCATATCATATATGTGATTCACTGAAACAATCTTAAGTAAATGCTCGTCCCTAGTAGTGATGATTATTCTACTTCCTTGATCAAACCACTCTTGACTTCCACATAAAGCCTTGAGTTGGTCTTCACTATTCACATAATCAAGAACAACAAGAACCTTTCTATGACAAAGCATTTCCTTGATTAGAGCTTTCCCCATTTCAATATTTGTTGGTGTCATCCTTCTTGTTTTCATGATGCTTGAAAGAAGTTGTTCCTGCAAGTAAACTTGACCATTATCTTGCCTCCAAACTTCCCTAATATTAGCTAGGAAAATCTTTCCCTCAAATGTTTGACCAATTTCATTATAGATGGCTTTAGCAATGGTTGTCTTGCCAATTCCTCCCATCCCCAAAATCCCAGATATGATAATCTCATTTGGTTCACTACTTAGCAATTTGGTGGCAAATTGCACTCGAGACTCTAATCCAACTGGATGGTGAGCAACAAATAAGCACTTGTTGTCACCTAGCTTCATCGTAATAGTTTCAATAACATAATCAATCAATTCAGTTTTAGTTCTGGCACCAACATAAGAAGTTAGATAATTACAAAATTTACCAAGAATCCTAGCTATTATATATGCAAGTAAAAATTGGTTCATAAATTAACTAAATGACAACGTACTAGTACTGAAAATAAGTTATATAATTATTTAATTTATCGTGTAGTATTCCTCACCTCTACTGATATTAAGTGTGCTCGTATATATTTTTAGAAAAATGGCATTTAAGACTCTCTCAAGATAATTTATCGCAATAAAAACTTATTAGTTTTGCATTGGATATTGTCTCATGAAAAAATATATATATTTTTAAAAGCTAAACCTTAACTTGTTAAATTTTAAAAAAAAAATCCAAACAAAAAATACAGTTAAGGTTCAACTTTTAATAACAATTATATGTATTTTTACAAAACAATATTCAATGCAAAACTAATGGACTCTTGTTGCGATAAATTCTCTAAAGAGGGCATTAAATGTCATTCTCCCTAAATTTTTTCTCCATGTAACGTACAAATTTATATAGTTGTTTTAAAAGGCGTTCATGATGTGTAAGAACAAGTTCACCCCCACTCTCTTTTTTGGTATTGTCCTCTAAGAAAATCATACTATATATACAACCTAGTGAAATCTGCTAGCAAGTTTTCCTTGTAATAAATAAAATTTTTTGGTGTTAGGTTGCATCGAAACAGGAACTCAACATTAAGTGCATGTTTAGAACATGAAAAGGTGATTTTTAGAAAGAAAATAGAAAATATATTTAGAAAGAAAATGGGATAGATGCAGTTAATAAAAAAAAAGGGATATGCGCATTTATAATTTGTTTTTTCCTAGGAAACACTTTGCTACCTACTAAATATTGCATAAGCAATAGTATATAATAAGTAAATGAAACGGGAAACTACCTGTAGTTTTGCATAGCCCATCCAGATAAGTTGGCAGCTTCAGTGATGACTCTTTCCACATTGATTGTCAATTCCTCACCTTTGCTAGTTGAGGGTCTTGTTAAAAGCTTTTTCCAAGCTTTTCCAAAGGCATTTTGTCATTTACGCACTTCAGATGGTCTCACATCATAGAATATAGGGAAAACCTCTTGATAAGTTGTTTTGTGACACTCCATGATTTTCTCTAATTCTTGCAAGCACCAACTAGATCCACCGAAATTTTTGGAGAATATAATGATTGACATTCTAGAACTTTCAATTGCTTGTAGTATTGAAAATGCAATATTTTCTCCCCTTTCAATCTCTCCATCCATGAAAACCTTAACACCTGCTTGTTTTAGAGCCGTATAGAGATGAGTGTTAAATGCTCTTCGTGTATCTTCGCCTCTAAAGCTTAAGAACACGTCATAGACATACATGAACTCTGGCTTATTTGGATTAATTTCCTTAGCTATCTCTTGCAGCAAATCGTGAACATGAAGCTTGTCATTTATCACTTTTACAACGTTACGTTCAACGAGTACTTGCATTCCCATTTTAGCAGAAAATCCTGAGCCTTTTAACAGTTCTGCAACACTTTGTATACTCCGGCCCACATAAAAGCTAGCCATATTACTGAATAAATCTTTCTCCAAATCAGTTAAAAGGTCAAAGCTTATCTTAAGCTTCTTTTGCATTTGACCATCTTGGACTTGTTCCAATTTATTCAATATATTTTTCCACTCAAGTATTGTCCTATTGTGTAAAAGAGAGCCGATAACTTCAAGTGCCAATGGTAATCCTTCAAATAAAGTAACAATCTTCGGCGAAAGATTCACAAAATCTTCTGTTGGAGTAGATTTCTTGAATGCATACCAATTGAAAAGCTCAAGAGACTCTACTGTCCAACATTTTCATTTGGTAAGATTTGTCTACAAAGTGATTTATTTTCTTATTTTTAGATGTAACAAGTGCCAAGCTCCCTTTACCAAACCACTTTCTATTTCCACACAATTCTTCGAGCTGGCTTGACTGATTTACATCATCAAGCACTACTAGGGCTCTTCTATTGAGTACTTTTTTCATTGGTTCCGCTGTCATTTCAAGGTTATTGATATTATCAACGAAACATTTACTCTCAAAATTGTGACCAATTCTATCATAAATAGCCCTAGCAATAGTAGTTTTACCCATACCTTTTGCTCCCCAGATTCCAATTATGACAGTGTCTTCCAAAAAAAATTTCCACTCCAACAAAGCAAGCACTTCTCTCACACGAAGTTGTAACCCTACTTGATCTTTGGCAAGATCGGGAAACCAAAATTCATCTAATATTGCTCTGATGTTGCTGATTACCGTAGTGTCACTGTTGTTCGCCAATAAAACAAAATTATATATATAGACAAGGATATATGTCTAAAAGAAATGTCAAGGTTCAACAATGTTAACAATTGTTACGTTTAGAAAGCATGATTTGGCTATTAAAAAAAAGTAAAAACATTCTGTAAAATCAACAGCCAAAGAATATTAGAAAAACAAGACGAAGTAGGCCAGGACAGTATTTTAAATAGAAGAAAACAAGTTAAGGAAAATAAAAGGAAAATATATTACACCAGAACTGATCCATGATAGGTTTCATATAACGATTAACTATTCTGATTATGACTAATCATAATTACAAAAGTTCGTCGGTAGTGATAACTACTATTTATAAATAATAACTTGGTTTTAAGTGTTAGACCTTAATGACAAATTCAGCGTGATAAATAACATTTTTCATTGTAAGTAACGAAAACTACAATCCCATATATGACAACTACTTTTTCAAAAATATAACTTATGGGTTTTAAAGGATAGTGATCGCCTGGAGTTCAATAATAACATTGATTATTACTGATGACTACTACAAGTTCAGCAATGATAATTATGTTTACTCATTATGTAGAGGGTGGCAATTTCGCCAACCAAAAAAAAAAATTAATCTCACAAAAATTCCTAAAGACTGCAGTGTAATTAGCGTATTTTTGTGGCATTTGTATGTCGATACTCTATTCATCAAATAAGTAAAAATACATAAGCAAAATCGAATAATAAAATAATATGATAAAAATGATGTCATAACGCTATATATCAATTAAAAATATTGAGGCTTGGCACTGGTCGTTTCTCAAATTTTTTTAGTAGTGTGTATTATAATTTCTGAGAAGAGTTTCAGAAAGTTCATACACAACTTGTTAAACATTGTTATCTTTTGGCAAGTTGATAATGATATGTTAAGCTGTTTAGGAAGTTTGGCCTCCAACTTCTCACACTATTTAAAAAAGAAAACACTTTCTACACTAGTTAAAAAAAGTTTTTTACAAGGGTTCCAAAACTGGTATATAAAGAAGGGGTGTAGAAAGTTTTGACTTTTTATCATAAATAGGGATGTTAGATAACATTAGCATACTGGGGTTAGTTTTTTTTATATATATTATTTACTTTTTTCTTCATAATTTGAATTAACTTCTTTTTGGTTAAACATAATACTCGGCATTTTCGATTACAATGTATTCCCTCCCATTCTATTTATAAAACACTTTTTATTGAATCATAAAAATTAAAAAATATGAAGAATTAATTAAGAGTCTTGATTTCTTCAAAGTTATTATAACATTTCCAAATTACCTTTAATTAAAACTATTGACTTCTACCTAAATGAACAAATTATATATGAATCTTTTTTTTTGAATAACTTATAAATTTTTGACTTGATTTTATAAATTTTTTTATATTAAGAACCATATATTATTTTTTTACAAAGTGTTTTATATTAAAGACCAAATAGAATAGGACTTTATGAATAAAAGTTTTAAAAACTTGACTGATTATCAAATTCAATATGTCAAAATAGTGATTCATGATTCAGTTGTCAAAGCACGATTGAGAGATGGTTGAACCGATTATAATTAAATTAATATATTTCAAATTTAAGTTTAAATTTATATGATAACAAAATACAAAAACGAAAAAAAAAATTAACATTAGAAAAATATCAATAATAATTTCAGTCCCTTATCTTTAAATATGTAAACTCGGCTCTTGAAATAATATATTAAGTTAGTTAAGAAATTAATTTAAATATATCTTTAGATATCTAAAAAAATAAATATATGCGTCCAAAAGTATGAAAGAGGAGGATACTCTTTTTATGACCAGAATTGGAAAAATAAACATAAAAGTATATGATTAAATGAGTTAGTTAATGATGAATTATATGTATGTTTTGTGCTCAAAAATTATTATTTAAGCCTTTGTAATCAAGAACTTTTGAGAGTCATGTTAAAACTAAATTAGAAGGATAAAACTTAAAAATTATAAGAAAATAATTGGAATAAAAGAGATTAGAAATATGTTATCATATAAATAAAAAAATTCTGAAAATAAAAAAATTGACAAAGATAAAAAAAACAGGAAAAAAAAAAAACGATACAACATTAATGTCAAGTTAAGAAGCTGGTGAGGGGATTAGGAGACCAATGCTTATAAAATGATAAGTGTAATACCCTCAAATTTACAAACTGATTTTTCACAAATTATTAATTCAATAAATCATTTTTTTTTCATTGAACCCTCATCATACCCTTATCATGGTAGAAAAATTTCTACCATGGTACATCCAATACAATATACCACAGGTCTTAAAATATCTCAAAAAGCAATTAGAACCATGAGGGACAGACAGGATCCTCATGGCATGATATTTAATTCAGGTCATGAATCAAGAGGAACAGACATAATCCTTTTGGTCATATAAATACTTTTAATAAAAAGGATTAGAGTTTACATGCTTCACAAAGAAGATATGTCCTAAGTTGGCACAAGATACATTGTATAATTCAAAATAAGAGGCAACATAAAAGATGGTGTCTCATACACCATAGTTACACCTCTGGTGCTTTCTCGGCCGGACTTGCTCCTGTAAAAATGTTAACTACGGGGAATGAGACTTAAAAGTCCCAGTAACCAAAAATTAATATGTAATGATGCATGCGGATGTAACTAATCATGCAA